AGACAGACAGACAGACAGACAGACAGACAGACAGACAGACAGACAGACAGACAGAGACTGAGACTGAGACAGAGACAGAGACATAGAGAAAGAGAGAGACAGACAGACAGACCGACATTAAGATAGAGATACAGAGATGGAAAGAGAGATATTGGGAGAGTGACAGAGAATCTAAAAACACACGGACAGACAGACAAACAGACAGACAAAGAGAGAGACAAGAAGAGAAAGGAAGAGAGACCGAGATAGAGAGAGAGAGAGAGAGAGAGAGACAGACAGAGAGAGGGGGGGGGAGAGAGACAGAGAGAGGGAAGCAGAATTTGCTCAACAAATGTGTCGACGAAAGTCTTGATTAGTACATATGCAAGAGTGGAGATAAAACAGGAGGAATTGACCACAACAAGACCACGTTTTATCTTGTGCTGGATGTTTGAAGTATAGATCTAGAATAGTTGGTACGTGATTGGTAACATTATCTAAACTATCGTCAAGCTTTTGAACGATTCTCTATAATCACGCTGTGTTTTGGCTCCTTGATACATCACGCTTTTGACAATTGTGTAATTAGTAATAATACCAATACTAAGCGATCTGTTGAGTCTCTATGTACTATACGACTATCGATCGACCCTCAGCAACATCAAGCTGTTTGGTGACCCTGTGTATCTTCACGTTGAGGGAGCATCCCTTGTCAGTTGTCAGAAAAGCAAACAGCCAGATGTTCCAGCCATGACGTGCACGTGTGACAGTCCAAAGAGCTTTAAAAAATCATCAAAATTGCGGCTACCACAGACGCAACAAGCAGAAGACAGAAGGGGGTCAGTGTCGGCCCCTGATAGGCGGTCCCTTTTCGGACCTCTGTTCAGACTCACCCGTTGGAAAAGAAGACGCTCCAGGAAGGACCTAAGTTGTGACGTCATCAGGCCGCTCTCTCGTGAATTTGTCCGGCTCTGGTGGGATAACTCCAGCGCGTCTTCCGAAGAGGCGGATTCAGACCCAGCGGTGATAAACGTCACTCCCAGACGCCTCCCTGGCCCGCTAAACATGCCTGATTGTCCAGTGTTTGACCACGCAACCCCGTGTCCGGTCCCTGGGACCGCGGACCTCACACAGTTGGCACATGTAAGGAGATGAAGCTATTGAAAAAAATTACCCTGCCAAATTCTATCATCAGTCGCCTTTGTGTTTATTAGTTGCAACAAAATGTGCAGTATTTTGGATTTTGGAATTACCTGTACTGTTAGAATTAGAGTAAACACGCATGAGAATGTTATAAACAGATATACACTGGAGAACGTTCTAAACCTGATAAATAAATAAATAAATAAATAAATAAATTGAAATATAAGGAGACAAACTAGTTAGTTAGTTGGTTTTAAAGCACACGTCATTGAGTTGCTCGAGATATTCTAGATAAAATATAGATTGTTAAAGCGCATGGAGCTTGCTGGCAAGTGGGTTTATTTTTCTTCTTCTCCTCC